AGGATTAATATTAATTTTTCTTTAAACATTTGGTGGAATTCACCAATGAAGCCATCTTGGCTTGGGCTTTTCATTGTAAGGAGGGTTTGTTTATTTGTTTGTTATTTAATTAATAATTTAATCTCTTTAGTTGTTATAGGTCTGTTTAGATTATCTATTTCTTTTTGAACAGTTTGATAGCTTTTATCTTCTAGGAATTTGTCTATTTATCTAGATTGTCTAATTTGTTGGTATACAATTGTTCATAGTATTCTCTTGTAATCCATTTTATTTCTGTAGTTATTTCTGTTAGTATGTCTCCACTTTAATTCCTAGCTTTTCCTTTTATTTTTCTTTCTTTCTTTTTTTTTTAAATCCATACCCAAGGATATGTTTTTATTGATTTGAGAGAGAGGAAGGGGGGCAAGAGAGAAACATAGATGTGAGAGAGAAACATCAATCGGTTGCCTCCTGTACACGCCTCAATCAGGGTTTGAACCCACAGCCTGGGTATGTGTCCTGACCAGGAATCAAAGCTGCTCTACACCTTTTGGTGTAGAGGATGACGCTCCAGCCAACTGAGCCACACCGACCAGAATCCTTTTATTTTTCTTGATTAGACTAACCAAAGACTTGACTTTTAGAAGACCCAACTTTGGATTTTGTTGATTTTCTCTATTGTCTTTCTATTCTCTATATAATTTATTTCTGATTTAATATTCATTATTTTTTTCCCTTCTGCTTTTTTTGGGTTTACTTTGCCCCCCTACCAAGTATACTGTTCTTTTTTAATATAAATATTTATGGCTATGATTTTCTCTCTGAGCTGTGTTCTCTCTGCTCACTCCAGTTTTGGTGTGTTGTGTTTCTGTTTTCATTCATCGCAAAGTGTTTTCTAATATCCCTTGTGACTTTTTTCTTTGACTTCTTGAGTACTTAGGAGTATGTTGTTTAATTTTCACATGTTTGTGAATTCTCTCAATTTCCTTCCACTACCAATTTCTGATTTTATTCCATTGTAGTAGGAGAACATAGTTTGTACGATTTTATTTATTTTAAATTTATTGAGAAGGCCTAGATTTATTAAGAAAGACGTAACAGCCCTGACCAGTTAGGCTCAGCAGTTTGGCCCACAGACCAAAGAGTCTTGGGTTTGATTCAGGTTAGGGCATGGACCTCGGTTTCGGTTCGGTCCCTGGTCCTGGTCGGGGTCATGCGGGAGGCAACCAGTCAATGTGTTTCTGTCACATCAATGTTTCTCTCTCTCTCTCTCTCTTCCTCCCACTCTATCGGAAGATAAATGGAAAAATATCCTCAGGTGAGGATTTAAGAAAAAAAAAGAAAAGCCTAACACATGCTGTATTCTGGAGGGTGTTCCAGATGCTTGCAGAGAATGTGTAATGTGTATGCTGCCGTTCAGTGTAGTGCTCCGTAGGTGTGCGGGGTCAATGACTCGTGCTGAAAGGCTTCTGTTTTCTTTTGTTCTTATGTCTTGTTGTTCTACCCATTGCTGAAATCTCAATTATTGTTGAGTTGTCCGCTTTTTTCTGCCAGTTCTGTCAGCATTTACTTCATGCACTTTGGGGCTTTCTCTGTTTTTCAGTGCATTATATTTCTGATTGTTGTCTCCTGATGGAATGACCCTTTTATCATGTTAGAACGTTCTTCATTGTCTTTAGTGGCCATTTTGGCTTTTTAAAAGTGTCAGATATTAGTACAAACATTCCAGCTCTCTGTGAATGGTATATCTTTTTTCATACTTATAATCTGTGTGTCTTTGAATGTAAGGTATATTTCTTGTAGAAAGCGTATAGTTGAATCTTGTTTTTTTTGTTTTTTTTTTTTAAATCCATTTTGGCAATCTCTGTCTTTTGACTATAGTGTTCAATGTATTCACATTTAATGTAATTACTGGTAAGGTAAGATTTATGTCTGCCATTTAGCTGTTTGTTTTCTATATATCTTATATCTTTTAAGAATTCCTCCTTTATTGCCATTTTTTTTGTGTGTTAAATAGAAATTTTCTAGTGTACCATTTTAACTTATTTGTCATTTTTTACTGTATTTCTTACAGTTATTTTCCTGGTCGTTACCCTGGGGATTATAATTAACAGCTTCATTTATAACAATCTGTTATAAATCTCCTGGACTTGCACACAGTTTTGCACATTCAGATGGTTTTCTAGATTCCTGGGAATAAGCTGGAGCTTTCCAGAACCTCCTATGGACAGCTGACTCCCACGTTTCTCCTTTTATTTGTTTATTTTTTTAGCTTCTTCTTTGCTCCATGTTTTCAGCACCTCAGGCAGCAGCAGTGTGAAACAGTTGCTGCTGATCTTTCTGGCCACGCACCCCAGGGAAAGGGTACTCTACACAGAACGAGCTCTGAGTCAGGTTAAACAGAAACAAGTTCCGTGAGTGAGCGAGGCTTTCGGGGAACTTCCAGACATGTCAAGAAGTGACCATTCCCTGGGCACAGAGTTCTGGGGAATTCCAGACTCACCGTGTCCCTTCCGGCGGCTCTAGGCTGCTGGTTTCCCCGGCTATGGTGATTGCCAAGTGTTTGGTTTTTAAAGCTGCCACAGAGCTGTGCAGAGGAGATGCCTCTAGATCAAGTTAAAAAGCAACAAAATGCATTATTCATAACAAGATTCAGCTGTTTTTTTGTTTTGTTTTTAAATAAATGCTCTTCAAATTGTTGCAAGCCTTTGGTTAACTTCCAGAGTTCTGAAAAAATGGATGGTGACAATTTTTGCCAGTGTTCTCATTGGTTTTATGGGGGAGTGGATATTTGGAGGTTTTACCCCGTTGTCCTGGAAGTTGATCCAAATTGGAATTTTTAAAATCCTAACATTCTATAATTCTAAGATGTGGGGTTCTTATTTGTGTAATTGGGAAGAAATAAACACCCCCTTCTGCTCTACCATCAATATGAGTGATACTACGAGGAAAATCATGATGTACTTGGGTGACAGAGGAAACCTCTGCGAACAGAAGGTCATTATCCCTTTATAGAATGCTCAGTTTATCTAGGGGAGCATGTTATAAGGTTATATTGATTTAGCATGTATAAATTAGCCACTCTACAGAGCACTCAAGAAAATAAGAGAACAAAGACCAGTTAACAGACATGGAAAAAGAGGTGTCTCCACGCACCCGGGGGTGATTACTGTAAGTGAGCGTAGCTTCCTCGTGCCGAGGTAAAGGGGGAAAGCCGTGTGTGGTTCGCACTGTCTGATAAAAGAACATAAGCAAATATATCTGTTTGAGCACATTTGTCTTGGCACTGATTTCTGGGAGAAATTTGTTAAGTGAGTTTTGATGTAATGGACACATTTCTTCAACTGAACTTCCCCCAAGGGATTTCCATCCTCACAAAGCTCAGAGCCGCAGTAGGCAAAGGCAGGACGTGTTCACAGGTGAGACGGCAGGCATCTTCGAGGCTGGGTTTGGAGGGAGGGGGAGGAACACCAGCAGCTAAGGGTCAGGGAAGACTTCATGAAGCTGGTAGCATTGGAGGGTGCCCTTGACGGATAAGTAAAAATTTGAAAGTGAAGAAGGGTGAAAGAAGGAATAGCAGTAGCAACAGAAACGTGGGGGCAGTGGGGGACACATTGGAAAAACGTTGTATTGGTTTAAAAGACAGGGTTTGATGTGCATCTGGATATGGGTACTGAGGGAGAGAGGGGACTCTAGCTTGTCCCCTAGAGGGGTTGTGGCCTTGGGGGTGGGCATTTGTAGGGGGCTCTGGGTCTGTCCAGTGAGCACCCATTGTGAAAGTGGTTAGGGTTGGGGTCATAGTAACAGAAGGCATTCAGTGGGACACTGTTACCCAGCAGTGAGTAGTCTCAGGATAGCCATACGAGGTAGAAAGAGTCGTAGAAATTAAGAGCTGATAAAGCCTGGCTTGCAACTGTGATGATTCTGATAGAGTCGGTCTGAGGCAGTCTGGGAGCCTGTGTTTTGAATAAGCTCACTGCGTGATGCTGAATCAGGTGGGCTATGAATCAGACTTTGAGGAATGTGGGTGCCATGGGACACGTCCTGGGCTGGGACACAGGAGAAGGGAGATCTGGCCTTGAGTCTTCCCCAAATGTGCTGTGCAACCTTGGATGGTTGCTTCCCGTCTCTGGGCCTGTTTCCTCCATAGAATAAGGGGGTTGGACTAGGTCAGCAAGTTTCAGCCCAAGCTGTACAGTGGAGTCCCTGTTGGAGAACTCTGACAGGCTGTGGCGCCTGAGCCTCGTGCCCCGAGTGTCCCGTTCAGGGAGCACGTGAGCACACCGGGGTGCCCTCGCTCAGGTATGTACGTTTGACAGCTTCCAGGTGATCCCAGTGGCTGCTGGAGGTGAGAACTGGTGCCCAGCGCTCCTTCTTGTTCTGAGTCAGCAACCCTGCATTAGCTCTGCCTCATTTCCTCATTAATCCCTGTCATGGGGGAAGTGTCCTACATAAGACACTTTCTCCAGGTAATCAGAGACTACTACATTAAGCACCAACCTTTTAAAACGTCTACTCTTCTTTGATCCTCCTTCTTAAAGCATCAACACATTTTCGATGATTTAAAGTTGCCACTCTGGTCATTTCATCTGTGCATTTAGTCAGTAAATAGGTGTTGGCATCTATTGTGTGTTATGAAAAAATGTTATAGGGCAGTGCAGAGATGGATGGACCATGGGCCAGTAATAATGATAACTAATATTTAAATATTTACCAAGTGCTTATTCTATGGTGGGTACTGTCCTAAGCACTCTAGTTTTATTATTACATTTAATCCTTACAACAGTCCTCTGAGGCAGGTACAACTGCATCCCCATTTTACAGACTGGGAAACCAAGGCACAGAGAAGTCCTGTACTTTGTCAAGGTCACGGAGCTGGTTGAGGCCGAGCTGGGGTTCTGATCACTCCCGGACCTGGCACAACATTGTTCCCTCCCAGAGCCTCCGTTTCTTCCTGTGCTAAGGGACTCGGAGGCCCTTTGAGCCCTTACACATTACATGAGTCCCTGTCTGCCCCTCAGGTCCCTCAGGAGGTCCCTCACCTGCATCAAAGAGAGCCTGCGTATCTTCATTGACCTGGGGGAGGAAGACAAGGCTGCTGAGGCCTGGCTCGGGGCTGGGCGACTCCACTACCTCTTGCAGGAAGACGAGCTGGTGGAGCTGTACTTGCAGGTAGGCCTCCTGCAGGGCGCATCTGCTGACGGGCTGGTGGGGAGGCGGCTGGAGAGAGGGGATGTTCTCCCCCGGGCTGCTCCCTGGACACAAGGTGGGAACCAGGGCGGTCTGGCAGGCTGAATACAGGTGGCAGAGGGCCAGCCCCCAGGTCCGTATACACAGGGACGCTCCCAACGAACGTGATGGGAGGCTCCCTCACCTGTCATGTCAAGGACATTCGTCTTTCTAAAGCTTGACACACACCTTGACTTCAGGGTTTTGCTGCAACTTGAGGCAAGTTTGATGTGTGTGGAGTGTGAACATTGTTGTTCTCAAACCGTGTGAGCTTGGACTTGCTACATGAGCTCTCTAGGCCTCAGTGTCTTCATGGCTGAACCCGGTCTCTAGGAAGGACTAGGTATATCACTTGCCTAGTAAATGCACGTGAATAGTAAACAGGTACTAAGTGCTTGGAGCTTAGTAGATGCTTAATCAATGGTATTTCATTATTACTGTTATCTGCAAGTACTGACATTATGATGGTATGTAAGATTTGTTCCATCAAAAATGTGCTCTTCATCTTCTCTTCCTTCCCATTTCTCACTTTCCCCTTTTCACTCCCCCACACTCCAATTACTTCAGCTCACACACACTCATTGGCATTGAGCGCGAACGGTTGAGGCACATTGATCGAATGCACAGGAGACTTTGGCAAACACACCACATGCATGATGTAGGTTAATCCTCATTACAGATGCAGCGGGAGTTTCTACTGAAACTCCCATTTCATAGAGGAGGCTCAGTGAGGCCAAGTTGCCCATGGTGATATACAGCTGGTAAGTGGTAAGAACAGCGCATGAGCAGTGTGACTTACGCTTTCACGCCCAGCCGCTGTTCTGCCCTGGCGTTTTAGGGCTGGAAGCATCTTCAGCGAGCAGGTAACAGCCTTGCCTCTCACCCTCCGGGACGGAGGCCCCGAGGGAGCTGTTTGGTTTGGTGGCGGAGTCCCGACTCCGGGATTCCGTCTCACCGCCCCTCTCTCTGTGCAGCTGCACACCCTGTAACAATAGCTGGGGCGATCCCCTGGCCAGAACTGGTCCCAGGCCCACCCGATCCCAGACTGCTGGTCATTCCCACGGAAGGAATCGTTCTGGGTCGGGGCGTGCGAGGTTGCCCAGCTGTGCTGCCGCCGCCGTGGTGCGTCCTTCACCCTGCAGACCCCTCACAGGCTTCGTTTCGATGCAATTAGAATAGCGCTAGAGAGAGAAGTCCTGGGGGCCAGGAGAAGGGTCCTGAGCTGGAAGACACTGATGGGACTGTGGAGAGGTTTCTCACTATTCTGAGCCTCAGTGTCTCCATCTGGGAAGTGCAGGTGTGGGGGGATCACTGCTTTCCAGAGTTCAGTCATTCATAACATCAAGGTCATGGTCTTGCTGTGTCCGTGTCCCATCTATATGACTATTTTCTTATTTTTCTTTGACTTAACTTCAGGTCAGCTTGGCTTTTTTACACAAAACAATGCTATCTGAAACCACGGGTTTTGTTGTATTATCAATCTTTTTTCCTTGAAACACATTAAAATAAATACTTAGCTACTAAAACATAAAATGTCTGTCTGTGTACTGCTGAAATCATTCTAGGGCCCTGTGATGGAATCTCTCATCCAGTGATGGGAGAGGCTGGACCGGGGCCTCTCCAAGGCTTCCTACCGGCTCTGTGAGTGTGGAGGGTAATTTGGGATTCTGGGGGCATGGCAGAGTGTTCAGCCAGTCCTCTGCCAGTCCCATGGACGTCTGCAGTCCTTTTCGTCTCTGACTGTTGTCTCTGTCTGGTCTGTCCCACGCAGGCAGCCACCCAGAAAGCCCTGAAGTCAGAGGAGCCCTCCCTGGCCCTGAGGCTCTATGAAGAAGCAGGCGATGTGTTCTTCAATGGGACCCGCCACAGGCATCGCGCGGTGGAGTATTACCGAGTGAGTGCCAGGCTGCGCAGGTGCCCGGCCAGGTCCTGGCACAAATGTGGGTGGGGCCGCATAGACCTCGCAGCCTGGACTCTTCTTCCCTTCTTTCGCTGGTATTTCTTCTTCTTCTCTTTGTCGGTGTAAGAAGCATCCAAGCCCGGAGAGAATTTTTATGACTTTATTGAACCAAACTGATGACAGTTCCCGAGAAGCAAAATCTCAACAGACTGAGAAAACGCTCCAGAGAATGGCAGTTTTGCCGCTTATTTTGTCCATTAGAGTCAAAGGAGGAGATGCAAGGAGGGTCACATGAAATCCACTGGTGGTAGATTAAGGGACAGGAGAAGGCAAGCAGGGGAATCTCTGGGACTGGATCAACAGTAAAACAGAGACGTTTCTCTGACGTTGGCGGGTACCGGATAGTTAACAGTGACATTTCGAGCACTCAGAGGTGGTGTGTGGGGAACGAGATAACAGCGAGCAGTTCTGTGGGCTCCTGGTTTGTGGATGTGCCCTAAGGGTTCTGGAAAAGGAGATTTCCCTGACATTTCAAAGGTATGTTATCTCAGATGCGAAAAGACAACACACAGACTCACTTAAGGTCAAGATTGACCGTTGGCAAGGAAGCTGCGGGCCTAGGACGTGACTGCTGCCGTGGCCCGCTGTCAGTGGGGAGTTGCTGTGTCCAGGCCATCCTGTGTAGTTCGTTTTGGTGCCTGAGTTTGTAAGGTCCACCATGCTGGCCTTCCCTGGGCTTGTCAGGGTCAGTACGGGGCCCCCGTCCCATCCACACCTTCCTCAGCCAGTGCCCACATGCTTTCTCTTCAGTCTGGCGGGCTTTCAAAGAAGGAGCTGATAGACTGTCATTCTCAGGCTTGAGAAGCCATTCTTCCCGGGAGAACAGGCCTTAATCATGACAACTCTCGGGCGCACTGTACGGTTGTAGCTCACTTCTGTATTTACCGGAATGCCCCCGTGGACCACTGGTGGCATGGTGGGGGGTGACTGGTCCCTGGATGAACTGCTTTGTTTCACTATGTTTTTGTTAAGTATAACACCAGCCCACCAAGCCCGTGATGTCACAGATATGACTGCAGGGAATGAGGAAAGATAAAAAAGGGAGTTGATTTGATAAATGACACATTCAACAGATGACTGGATGTTAAGCAGATGGGTCAAAACTCATGATCTTTCTCACTGACTGAAGTTGGAAACATTATTATTTTATTCGATCCTAAAATCTCACATATTCATATCTTCAATCATTTGCTTGTTCAATTGATTCTTCAGTTATCAAACATTTATTAGTCACCCACTGTGTGCCAGGCACTGGACAAGAAACATGTCCCTGACTACTGAGGTGACCATTGTCACACGCATTTTCACAGATGAGAACACCAAAGCTCAGAGAGATGGAGCGACCTGCCCACCACGCTACCATAAGAACAGTAGAAGTGACCATTTATGGGGACTCTTACTACGCACATAGGTGCTGTGTAGATTAGCGCTCTGGGCTGAGGGAGCACATGGCCGGGAGGTGACTAACTTTCCTGCTCTCAGTTTTCCCAAACTTAGGAGGCCCAATGACCTCTAGTTCTTCCACCTCTAAGATTTGGGCAAAGCAACCAAGAGCAAGGACCAAGAAAGCGAGCTGAGAAAACACACGTGCCGACCACGACGGAGTCTCTCAGTTTTAGTCACTACCATCCCCCAGCCCAACAGCAGAACAGGCGCCTCCTAGAGTAGGGTGTGTACCCGTGATTCCTGGGGGACTAAGATTCCCTGTGCTCTCTTGGAAGGCTGGGGCCGTTCCTCTAGCAAGGAGGATGAAGGCGGTGAGAACCGAGCTCCGGATTTTCAACAAGCTGACGGAGCTGCAGATCAGCCTGGAAGGCTATGATAAGGCTTTGGAATTTGCCACCCTGGCAGCCAGACTCAGCACAGTCGCAGGTAGGTGGCCCAGTATTGAATGGGGTGGGGGGGGACAAACTCTCCCTGGGAGGCAGCACAAAGCAGCCACAGCCGGGCTGGAATCACACTGCCTGGTTCAGATTCTAGGCCCAACTGCAGACGACCTCACCTGGGCAAGCGGCTTGAGTCTCGAGTTTGTCTTTGGCAAACCAGGATGGGAAGCAGCACCGTCTCACACAGTTGTCCTGAAGACCAGTGACTATTCGTGTAGAGCCTACAGCACAGTGCTTGGTGCCTGAGCGTCCTGTGCTGCCCGAATTCTTAGGTGACCGTGGGTGTTATTCCCTAGGCCAGGGTGCATGGCATTTTATTCTGTGCATGGACAGTACCCCCTGGCAAGGAGACTGTGCCCTACATTTCAAACAGGTTGCTTGTTAGTCAAATACATATTTTCCCCATGGACTCGAGATGTAAATGAAGGTCAGATTCCCATTAACTTAACTCACCATGTAACTGAAATAGTTTGTATTAGTGGCAAACAATGTAAGGCATTAAAACAGAAGGGAGAATGAATAAAGATTTAAAAACGCCTCATTTTGAATGTTGGTGCTTGAGGGAAAGTGAGTTTGATTAGGGGAGGCTTAATTAGATGTGGAGGCAAATGGAGTCTTCCATTGATTGGCTGCCTCCTGCACGCCCCCCACTGGGAATGGGCTCACCTCCTGGACATGTGCCCTGAGCGGGAATCGAACCGGCGACCTCTTGGTGCATGGTCGACGCTCGACCAGTGAGCCGCACCAGCTGGGCCCTATCTGTTTCTTACTGCAAAAAACCTCTGAGCCATTGTCTGCTGATCTTAGGGAAGGCCTCGCTCTATCCGTCCCTGGACAGAAGCTGAATGGAGGCTGTTTCTCAACATTTTATGCTTCCCTGTGACTAAATTTATCCATATCTGAGAATTTTTTCTCCCTTGGATTTTCTATTATAATTTAAGCTTTTGGCCCTTTAAAGCATAAAAGTGTTTAGATTGCATCAAACAACCACCTTGCAAATATCCCCCTCCCCCTCAAACCCATTGAAAGCCTTTGTTCTCTTTAAAAGGTCACTTTGTATTAAAGGAGTTAGTTATTAAAACAACAAACCCAGAAACCAAAACAACAAGATCCAGGCCTATTAGAATGAAGGTTCCATGGTGTGGGTTACTCTGGTTTCTCTGCCACCTGAGCTGGGGAAGGGACAGTGCTGACCGCTGCTGGCGGAGCCCAGAGCCTCAGGGCAGTCCTTAGGTGGAGCAGGCATGTGTTACACAGTTACTTCACCGTAGAGAATTCTTAGCCATTCCATAGGCTAGTCTTGTCACCACGTCCCACCAAGGAGACTTGGAAGTAGTCATTTCCCAGACTCTCGAGCTAAGGTGACACCTGTAATGAGAGTGTTTCCTTCAGGAATCATCCCAGAACATCTTGCCAGCATGCACTTAGAGGGCTCTGTGTTTTCTTACGTAGCACTTCCACGGGTGTAATTTTCCTTTTGTGTGTGTGATTAAGGAGTGTTTGCGCCCTATGAGACAATGCCCCTCAGGAGGCGGGGACCTGTTTGCTGTGTTCCTCGGGTCCCAAGCACAATCCCTGATCCCTCATAGACCGTCACGGAGTTGTGCAGAATGACTGAGGGGACAGACGGTGTGAAGGGTTGGCTGCCCAGTGGCTCTCTCAGTCTCCAATTCCTAGGAGATCAGAAGCAGGAGCTGGTGGCCTTTCACCGTCTGGCTACGGTGTACTACTCCCTGCACATGTATGAGATGGCTGAGGACTGCTACCTGAAGACGCTGTCCCTCTGCCCAGCCTGGCTGCAGAGTCCCAAGGAGGCCCTGTACTACGCAAAGGTGTATTACCGCCTGGGCCGACTCACCTTCTACCAGCTGCAGGTAAGGGCCAGGGTTATAGGGTCATGGGTCAGCAGCCTTCAGCCATGTTCTTCCCTGGACCTGAGGCTGCAGGGTAGAGCTGAGATGCCCAGGCGGGAATCCTGCCTCACAGGATGGGGAATGGCTCCACTGGGGACCCCACTGGAGACACAGCGATGCCCCCCACCCCGAGCACAACATAGCTTCTCTCTCCGTGCTCTGCTGTGATGTCCGCGGCCACGCCATCTAGCAGGTGCCATGGGCATGCTGCCTGGTGCCCGGGCGCTAGGGCCGTCAGCACGGCCCGTCCCGGTCTCAGAGGCCTACGAAAGTATCTGAGACCCAAAACTAAAGGCCTCTAAGGGCCAAGGTTAAAGTAAAAATTGATACTTAACTGTATGTCTACCCGATGTTATAGGAAAACTAATCAGTCGCAAATATAAAACCACAGTTTGGAGAAATCGGGGTAGATATTAACATGTGGGGTGCTTAGGAGGTCTGGGTGTGGTTCTCCTGTTTGATCTGCTGGCATTGACGCCAGAACTTACTTTCCCAGCCACTTCGAGGCCTGTGTCGGTGGCCTGCAACTCTGCCCAGTTCTGCCCCCAGACCTTGTCCCCAGACCTTGGCTTCCCTCACCAGAGGTCCCTGTCTGCTCCAGCGTACGCCTTCATCTCCTAATGCAGTAGCTTCTCCGCTGCGCCTGTGTTTGGCCCCCAGGGATCCTCAGGGCAACTCTGCTGTCCTTTTCCTCCTGGCCAGACGTCCTTTCTGGCCTGAATGAGTTATTGAGTTATGAGGGTTAATGGGAACCAGACATCCCTTTTTGAGTCTCACCCAAAGCAGCATCTGTTCCTCGTCTCTGCCCTGTAGGGAGGGTGGCTGGGTGGTGAAGGGCTCCCCAGCCATCTGCCTGTCTGTCCCGCAGCTCCGGCCACTGGTTCAGGGACGCGGTGTGTGGGATCGGCTTGTGTCACCTAAAGGCTCTAGGGGTTGCCAGGGGAAGAACTAACTATAGCTTAAGCAGAAAAGGCAGATCGTTGGCTTCAATAACGGGGAGGTTCAGGAATAAACTTAATTTCTGGTAGTTCTGGATGCTGGCACTCAGCTGCCAGCATGTCTCCCTGCTGCTCTCTGTATCCCTTGGCTCTGTGTGCTTCTTCTCCGTGTTTGTTGGTCTCCCCCCGCCACACACACGCACACGCACACACACGTACACACACGTGCACACTACTGGCAGGCTAAGCCCACATCTAAAGGGTAAGGGACCATTTTCTCTGCCAGGTCACACTGGAAGGCCGGGAGGGACTGGGGTAGGTCACCTTGAGTCATGTATGCATTCCTGAAGCACTGTGCCCAGGGGGATGCTGCTTTGTGATTGGCCGACCCAGGGTGAGGTGCCACCTCTGTGCCTGGGGAGGAGGGCCACTGGGGTTGGCAAAGCCCAGGACTGAAGCGGAGTGGGGGAGGAGCCCCCTGCCCCCACCTGGGGAACCGGGAGAAGGGAGGGGAAAGTACATCCAGAGGACCTTAGCTGGGGCTCCCAGCAGGACCTCCCAGCCTCCCCTGGAAATGTTGCTAATGCTGTTTCTCCCCTGCCCGGTGCCGCGGGGTTAGGATGCCCATGATGCCACTGAGTACTTCTGGCTGGCCCTGGCAGCAGCGGCCCTGCTGGGTGACGAGGAGCTGCAGGACACCATCAGGGGCAGGCTGGACAGCGTCTGCCAGAGCCCCCTGTGGCTCAGCAGCCCCTCCGGCCGCTCCTCAGAGAGGGCGCGGTGGCTGAGCGGCGGGGGCCTGGCCCTCTGAGGACAGCTGTCCCGTCTCGGACCAGTTGCCATGGCCAGAAGCTGCTTCCCTGCCTTAGGCTCCTGACACTAATTGGAGGGTCTGAATCGTCACCTGGCCCAGCCCTCTCATTTGACAGCGGGACGAATGCAGTCCTAGGGAGAGGAGCTCATTCTGGGCTGGCCACACACGCAGTGGGCGATGGAGCTGTGGCAAGGAGTCCTGGCTTCGGGTCCAGAGCCATTCCAGCAGACGGTGGCCCTTCCACACGTGTGGCCTCGGACGTGCCCCTTCTCGGCACACAGTTCTCCCGGAGAAAAGGAGAAACCGGCCCAAGGGAAACCTTGTTCCTTTCCTGGGATCAGGAACTGCACTGGAGAGAAAGCAAGCGGACTGACTTGTCCCTCGCGGACTTTGCTCAGGGAAAGACCCTCCACTTGCCAATGGAGAAACGGGACCGGCAGGGGCCCATGACCATGCTCCTAGCCCAAAAGACAGTCTCAGAATGGCCCTGGAGGGCGTGGAACACCATGGGTTCACTGTCTCCATCCTGCCGGGGCTCCGCTGCCCCACAACCTCCCCGGAACCCTGGGAAGCCTCCCGAGGGCCAGGGCATACCAACTGAGCGCTAAGAAAGCTATGACGTAAATTATGTGAACTATTAAATATCGTCCATTTACATTACACAGACATTTGTTTCCTTTATAATAGGGGGAGACGGATGGGCACTTGAAGGATGGGTGTCCTAAGGATTTCACGGTGGCATCTTGGCAAAGAACTTCTGGTAGTAATTTACGGGATACCAGCTGCATTAGTGGTTTGGAACATTTCTTATCTCCCAGTTTCGGTAGGGAAGCGGGAATCCAAGTGTGCTTAGCTCAGGGCAGCTCACGGGCTAAGGGCAAGGTGTCGGCTTGGCTGCGAGCTCTCGAGCTCAGCTAGGGAAGAAGCCACTTTCAGATTCACTCATCACGTTGGGGGGAGCTAGTTCCTTGCTCGCTGTTGGCTGGAGACAGCCCAAGCTCCCTGCTTCATCAGCGAGCCAGTGCGGGGAGTGAGGGAAGGGAGTCTCGGGCTCCTCATAACCTCATCTCAGAAGTGACATCCAATTCGTTTTGCCTGTTCTATTCATTATAAGTGAGGTCCGGCCTGCAGGAGAAGGGAGGGAAGTACCAAGGCTGTGAGGGAATCATTGGAGGCCACTTCCGAAGTGCCTAGTCCAGGGACCCCGACGCAGGGGGTCACCCTCGCTCTGCGCTGTGGGAACACATGAGAAGACCCAGCCAGGGGGCTCCCGCCTGATGCCCCACAGTTTTACTTGAGTGGTCAGACCCTCTGCCCTTCATTTCTAGCTTCTCGGGCCAACCACATGGTTGGTGGCCTGTTGGGATGGGAAGCGGGTGGTGAATTGAATCAATATTGTATCTCGTCTACACACTAGTACATGTTGTTTTCTCTTAGGAGCTTGGTTGGTTGTCAAAACACCCTCTGCAGAATATTCTTCTCCAGGAAGGAAATGAAGTGACCCAGTTCACTGCCATGTAAAATAGACGTGGTTTTGTTCCCACCACAAACCATAAAATCCCAAGCAGGGAGGGGTGTGGTGGAGGAGTCTGACCTCCCACGCAGAGTCCTTTCAACGACATTCCTGGAGCTGTTACACATCTTCATTTGCAGAAGGCTTGCTTGGCCCTCTAGCAGGTGCCATGATGGTGACCCACCCTCCATTCGACTCAAGTTACAGACACTCTCCCTGTCCCACTGGCCTGTTACTCTCCCGGACAGACGCCAATTTCTGTCGCTCCCACAGCGTGGTCCCCGTAACTGCACCAGGCTTTGGGTATTGGCAGGTGGGTGGACAATACGGAGGGATATCACTCTACTTACTATTATTTAACATTGTATTTTGGTGTTGCGTGAAGATTTTTCCTTCCCCAGCAGCCACATCTTACCACTGGCTCACAGTGAGCTTATGATCAACTGAAACATCTCACGTGAGCTTCTGTTTGACCACATCTTTCTCGATTGCTACATATAAATTATATATATACGTGTGTGTGTGTGTGTGTGTGTGTGTGTTTGATATATTTAAGTGCAGGGCATTATATCTATCCATTTTATGTTTAATTGGGAATTGGGTTAACATGCTCTGATTCTGTGCACTTTGGTTCATCTGTAAACCTGTAAGTCTGCCCCCAGCCAGGTCCGCATGAAAATGGTCAGCACACTTGCAAAGACAAGAGCGGAGCTCTCTTATGTTTTATTTTATTTTGTAATGAGGAAACACTGTATCATTGCAAGGACTACATTGTATACACACATTGCTCTGCTGAAATAGTTTGAAAGTGTTTAAAATTTCATGTTAAAAGTATGGGCAACTATTCCCCTTGAGATCTGTTGAAGTTTTTTTTTTTTTTTTTCCCTCCACGATCCACAGTGGGTGAAGTGGTGATTGGATCTGGTCTCTAAGCAGGCTTTATTATACATATAGTAACCAAAGATGATTCATGTAAACTTGTGTGGCCTGGCTGGCTCCTGGCTCCTTGTATCTAACCACCAGAAGAAAGAACAAGGAGGAAATTACAACACTGTGGAAAACCCTGTAACATTTTCTCAGCTTTCATGTACATTACTTCCCTGTTTAATGTTGCGAATGACTGAAACCAGAAATGGCCTTTATCTTTTTCTTATTTACTTTTCCACTATTTCAAGATGTCTTTGTGTGTGTGTGTGTGTGTGTGTGTGTGTGTGTGTGTGTGTGTGTTGTAAGGAGGTGGGGATTCCAGACAGGGGAGAGGAAAAGATCACCAGGGGGTGCAAAAACTTGGATTTGGGTCTTGAATTTGACATTACATTGCAATGTGACCTTGTGCAAGTCACTTAACCTCTATACACCTCAGATCTCTGATCTCTAATATGAAAAGTATGGTCACCTCTGGGTTCCTTTTCAGCAAAGCTGTTTCCATATCATCTGAGCAGGGAGAGAGATCTGTATCTGGGAGATGAAATCACTTGCTTCTATGGCCCAGCTTTGTTCTCTTCTTTTTACAGGTGAGTAAACAAAGAAATGGAAAAGTAATTTTCTGCCAGGCCCACAGGTAGTTAGTGATAAAGACAGCAGTGCCCTGCATCTCATGACCCAAGGACTCAGCTGCATGAACAGCGGGTTCTCTGGTGCACAGTGACCTTCATGGTCGCATGCACGTGTGCGTGTGTGGACGCATCGCCACACACGCCGCCTGGAGAGCCATTCACCAACCTTTTTCTAAATCCATTTACTTCCTTTACTCACACCAATTAGTTCTATGATAGATGACTGGCCTGTGGAGCAGGAAATCTTGCATTGCCTTTCGTATTTCATAAATAAAAACAAATACAGGGAAAACAAAAAAATTCACTAAACTCAAGCGAGATGCTGTTGCCAAGGCGAGTGCCCAGCCTGGGCCTGATGGGCATAGTTTGAAAAGAAAAAGGTTGACAAGTGGCAGGGAGTGTTGAAGACAGACCAGTGTCCTCCTTACGCAAGCAGAGAAGTGGAGAAAGCCGTGCAGAGGGCTACCCCTCACCCCCAAGGCCATGTCCGGGCACACGCTTCCCGCTTCAGGGACGTGGGGCCTCACTCGTGTGGGAGGGAGGGGACACATCATGTAGTAAGAATATGACCCAGGATGAGGGGCACTGTGATGGGAGCTGAACACTGAGGGTTATGGGAGCTCAGGGGAGGGGATTTTAACTCAGGCATGAAAGTGAGGGCATCAGGGAGGACTTCCTGGAATAAGTGACATGTAAGTGGAGTCCGAGGAAGAGATCTATAATTCTAACTGCAGACCAGGGGGTGGAGGGGGCCTGGCATTTTCTGAGAAGAGCCACAAGTTCAGCCAAGCTGGAGCTGAGTCAAGGAGGTAGGGAGGGGAAGTGAGAGGGGAGGTGGAGAAGGAGCTGGAGGTAGACCCTGAGGGGGAGGGGAGCCACGGAAAGGTTACGAGTGGGAGAGAGAGCGGTCGGACAAGAATGGGTTACAGAGGAGCAGGAGGAAGGTGGAAGCCCCGTTAGGACCTGGCTGCGGCAACCATGGACCACGGCCTTTGTTTGAATTTCACAGCTTCTCCACTAACGTTTGTTTTGGGAGCCGGGATCCCAGGGTATCATGTGGCACTTAGCTGCCAGGTTTCTCTAGTCACCTCTGCTCTGTGACCATTTCTCCGTCTTTCCTTGTGTTGCATGACCTTAGCCATTGTGACCTCTTTTTCTTTTGATGATTGTACCCATTGAGGGGTGGACACGAGGGCGAGAGAAAGGAGAGATTCAAGGGGAGGGCCCTGTCCGCACCCGGGCACCAGCTCCAGGTGGGGGGCAGGCACACCTGGGCTGGAGTCTGTCTTAGCTTCTGTGTGACCTTCAGTGAATTAACTAACTTCTCTGAGCCCGCTGTGGTCAGAACCATATCAGAAGACACATGTGAAAGAACGGAGCACACACAGTGCCCAGCTCGTTGTGTAAACGCTAGATGACCGGACAGAGTTGTTTACCGTCTTCATCTTGTGGACGACGACATGCTGAGGCATAGCTACCTATCTTCGCGGACAGGGCTTTACCCTCGGATGAGAGGAGCCTGGTTCAAGACACAGAACAAATAAGGCTCTTATAAAAGGGAGTGATTAAAAAATGCCTGCCATAACCCCGCCCGTCAGTTTAGTTTCTTAAAAGTTAAGATTTGAACTCTTTTTCATACTAGGTTTTAGTTGCCACTTTGCAGTTCAATCACACTTTGTTTATTTCTTGATGTAAGCCTTGAAGTCGAGAAGTATGGCCAAATCTAGAGTGGTGGCCGGGGCTAATGGTCCTGGACTCAGGGACACCTGGGTCTGAAGCCAGCCTCTGCCTCTTGTCTGCTGAGTGATCCAGGCAAGTGCCTCCACCTCCTTACGCCTCAATTTTAACTCTGCTTGGAGTTCACCTGAGACTGCACGTGTGGGTGACTAGGTGTGAGCACCCGGCTTGTGGAGCTGTCCTAAGGAAGCAGGTAAAGCAGTTTTTTTTTATTTATTTTTTGGTACGTGCCCCTAGTGGGAACTGAACTGGGGACTGTCTGGTCCGCAGGCCAATGCTCCAACCGCTGAGCCAAACAGGCCAGGGCAAAGCAGTTTCTTAGTAAGCATTCTGGTTCTGGGCCCCACATCGTGCAATGGGGTGTGTGTTAGGGGTGCTGTTTCCTCTGGGCCTTTAGCTCTCGGTGAGACCTCTTGGATGGAATAGCATATGGTTCCCAGTGTGCACTGCTCTGCACCCCTGCCCCCGGCAGTTACTTCAGACCTCGGAGGCCTGGAGTATGGAGGCTGCTGGCAGTCCCGGCCCTGAGAACATGCAGCTGGTCTGCATTCCTCTGAGGGGTGTCGTCTCCCCAGAGAGCAGAGACAGGTGGCTGCGGAGGGCTGGGAGGCTCTGCCCAGCTGGGATGTGGGATGAGCAGAGGTGGAACCAAGGATGATGTGTGGCTGAGAATCAGTCACAGGGCTGCTCAGCAGTTTCCCAGGAGAGACTGTGGGAGGCTGGTGGGAGGGGAGGACCCGTGCTTTAGAATTTGTGCAAAGGGGAGAACGCCAGCTCCCACTTCTGGCGGAGCCTTTG